TTAAGTGTATCGTAAAGTTGTATTCGGAAAGAATAAACCAGTTTTATTTAAGAAAGGACTTGTGTTGCTAAAGTTTCGTCGGAACGAATTTACGGAAAATCAACTAACGACTGGAGATGTAACACAATGAACTTATAAGCTTCATCTTTTTTTCTTATGAGTTCAGTATCCACTACTGAACGTTTGCCCTTGTTTTGTTTATATATGTGAGAATATACTTTTGTATATTAGTATTTCCAATAGTTTAGAGTCTTTCTTTTAGAAAATCAAGGTTGTAGTTTAAAGGAATCAAGATACTTTATAGTCTAGTATTCACTAAACATACAGTTAATGAGACTAAATTACTGCTGTGGGAGAAAACCCCTTTTGCAGGGAAACATCATGCACCAAGGATATTTCTAATGCAGAGTTCAGCATTCTCCCTGAGAGGGTTTGGCAGCTAGTCTTATGAACAATCCAGGGAAAGTACAGTCACCTAAGTTTATATTTAGATGACATTCTTTACAAGGAGACAAGCATACGATCTGGAAGGGGAAAATATGTTGCTGAGACTTAAAGGTCTGTAGGAATGGTGGTCAAATCTGGGAGAAGTTCTTTCCAGGACCTCAGGTTATTGGTGACACTGCCAAGGGCCTAGTAGAACATCAACCTGCAGTCAGAATGAAGAGCAAGGACTATGTCAAGTAATAAGAAACCAGAAGCCATTTCGAATTCCCATGTTGTAAAGAAGCTCAGATAGCATGGGAACCTGAGCAATCAAGGATAATTGAGGAGGTCCAAGACTGAATGGGGTAGTCTGTACAGGACTCCAAAGTGCTCAATGACTAAAGAAGCATAGTCCCAGCTCTGTTTGAGTTAACCTACAAAAAGAGGCATAAAATGTCATTAGTAGACAAGCTGGCAAAAACAAATATCATGAGCCATCCACAAAACAGGTATGGGCAATTCACTTTGAAGTGACCTTGATGCCCACACCCAAAGCACATGGTGTGGTTCTCCCTTCCAGAGTGGTCTCTGGGCAGATGCATCATTGGCTTTGGCTGCAGAAACGACATCATAGGAGTACCAGTAGAACACTGCCCAATCATTGGGAGCCAGTGTGGTTGTGTCACAGTGCCAGGATATGTTGGCTGCTGGTTCCCCTTGCCAATGCTCAAGCTCGATGAGAAGGTACTCACTTGAATCTGTATGAGGCACAGCTGCTGCTATGGGCTCTTTTCTCTCTGGCAACCCATTTGAAGTGATAACTTTGAATCTCATTCTTACACTAACTGCCTATATTAGGATAAGAATATCTCTCTCACCCAAGTGATACCTCAATAGACAGTCCATTAATGAACTTGTCTACCAGGATGTCTTTGCAATTTGCGAAAGTCATCGCAGAATATGCCTTCCCATGTAACTGGTACAGATATTATGTCTTGAAGAGCCAGACTATCCAAACTCAGGATCAGCCACTGCATTGTCTGTTCCCAAATTCAGCCATTTCAGGCAGTAACTTGTCTGAAATGCTTCACATTTTCTGTGATGGCACCCTTAATTGTCAGAGATGTGATTTCTACCTCTATCACAGAAACCCATGGTTTCAGCCTAAACCTCTCACCAATAGACTCTTAGTCAACACAAAGCTGACACATCCTTAACATCAGAGTGCAGTGGAGTGGGATGCTGCAGAGACCCTTTCATTTGGATGAATGTCAGATCCTTGCTTTTGGGTCACAAATGGAGATAACTTACCCATAGACCCTGCACATCTTAAAGCTTTTCCATGATCCATAGTTGCCATTGCAGTGTATCTCCCATCAAAGAGAGACTTGCCACTGCTCCATGGATCACCACCTCCAATGTCTCATCTGCTGCCAAAAAAGCTCTTGCTCGAGACTTACAGCTCTCCCTCTTAGCCAGTCACAGGTGGCACTGAACAGAGCCAGTTAGACAACTCAAAGTTAGTGAAAGCCTGTAAGTCCTTTAGAGATCACCCTATTCAGTCTAGGAGAACATCTTTGTCTCTGCTACTGCAGACCCAACAATGTCTCTGGTAGCCATCATTCTTTAGCACCTAATGTTTCCTCCTGGTCATACGTTCTATGACTTGTAGAATATGAAATTTCTTCAGGTATGAATTTTCAACTCAATAAAAATGAATTCAAAGACCACAGAAAAATGAACTCCTTTAGAGATAACAGACAGTCTGAAATAACAAATCCTATGGTTATGAAAACAAATTTTCTCCTTCCTAGCTATTCTGCAGTATTCTCAGATTCACTGAGCCTCACTAAGTAATTGGGTAGGAACCATAAAATAATAGGATGCTTGCCAGAAAATGTATTATGGAGCACAAATCTGAATTTTTCTAATCTTGACTGACTTTGATGTAAATAAAGAGACTAGACACAAGTTAAACACAGTGAAACAAACTTAATTTCAAACCAAAAAGTTAAAGGAAAATGGGTAGTGTGGTACCTTTACTGGAGGAAAAGATGTAAACTTAAATTGTTATATTGAATTGTACTGAGTCAAAGCTTTATATATAATAATAATGTCACTCTTTCCTAGGTGATACCTACGTGAATGATGGTCACTCTCGCTGTAAAACAACGGATGATGTATCTCTGAAGCATCACCTGACTTTTCAGAAGAAAAGATCACCATTTCTAATGCATCATATACAGTGTTATAGTAATCTTTCTCAAACTAAAGTGCATGTGATACTGTTGCGTCAGCGAGTCACATGACCACCGTGACGCAACGTTTCTAGAACTATCATGTACTTTGGTGAATGTTCAAGTTCTTACTAGAAATAGGGTACGCTGGTATATAAAAGAGGGGAATGTAATGTGTGTATAGATAGATAGTGAGTAATTGAACTGCAGTCAGAGAGAGACGTATTGTTGTAGTTAATGTTCGTTCGTTATTATAGTTTGTTATAACGCGACTGTTGAGAATAAGTGTATCGGTAAAGTTGTATTCGGAAAGAATAAACCAAGTTTATTAAGAAAGAACTTGTGTCGCTTAAGTTTCGTCGGAACGGAGTTACGGAAAATCAATTAACAAACGGAGACGTAACAATACCTTAATTGAATGGCCTAGTTCCGTGTATGACTAAAGCATGTGTATTTTCTTATGACAAAGCCACATTGGGCTATTTGCTGTGTCTACTGAGGGGAATCAAACCCCTGATTTTAGCATTGTAAATCCAAAGACTTGCCACTGTCCCACCGAGGGACATGTAACTAAGGCAAGAGGAACTTAGTGGCTCTCTTGACTGACTTTGTATATTAAAGATACATACCCAATATACACAAAAGTATTGAAATATATATATTGTTGCGACAACGCAGGTCACGTGACGTTTGTATCACGCCACTTCCTTCTCGAACCTT